TTTTTAAAGCAGCAGCTTAATCTAGGATTCAGTTGTCAGCAATGTCTGTGTAAAAACTATCACAGAATTATCCTGTGCAATTATCTTGCAGTTAGTCTTTAAGTTAGGCTCTAAACCAGCACATAGAAACAAACCTCTGTTCCGGACATTATGCAGTTAATTTATTCCCTATCCTAAACAAAAATACAGGCTTTCATTAAGGACACGGAAGCAAGTTATTACCTCCCTCCTACTCACTCCTAATACGTTTTATCTTTATTCTTTACAATCCTGGATAGCAAAGCAGCTGAGAGCCACCAGGACTTCTGATGCCACATGGTTATTGTTCCAGTTGTTTGTTCTGGTTCCAGCTGAATGATAGTGGGAGCTGTTCTGCTTCTGAGCAAAGGGGAGGAGGACCTGCAAATTCTTAGTTTTTTAGGCTAGAATGAAAAAGACCTTAAAAGCTGTTTGCCACACAACTTACAACTCCTTTTGTATTTAATGGCCTGAAAATATTAGAGTGAATAAATGCTAATGATTTGGGGGTTTGCAGTATTGTACAGCAAATAAAGAAGTCAGGCTAGCAATAACTTGCTTCTGTGTTCACACAATCATTTTACTTCAGAATGCCATGAAAATACTTTAAACAGATTTCTGTCAAGGCATTGTTGAATAATAAGCTTACCTAGTGTTCAGGATTCAATCAATGTTTTCCTTGATATAGGATGTCATTTTGTAAGTGATGAGGACATACACAATTAACTGAAAACTCTAATTAAATTTCTGCTGCAGGTATTTTCCTTGCTACGCCACTTTATTCTACATGCTGACAGAAGAGAAACAAAAAGAAGACTCCTGATCTCAATCACTCAGATACTGCATTTTCAGACACAACTGGCACTTCAGAGATCAGGGTACCTGTGAATTTCAGTTTACATTTGCCAACATACAGAGTGGGATTCATCCAAGTGGCAACAAAAGCAAAGCAAGTTTGTAGAAAAAAAAAAATTAATTAGATGCAGTGTGAGAATAAACTATCTACAAATAGGAGAAAGAACTACCAAAGAGGAAAAAAAAATGGAGAACAGGCTAGATCCTCTGGATGGTCCTTACATCTTTATGCCATTATAGTAGCATAAGGAAAACCAGCCATGGGAGAAGAATCCTGGAACAGCATAAAGCTACTGCAGAAACTCCTCATTCTGTGCCCCTACCACAGCTCAGGATGGAGGACCAGACTGGGAAAGAGAGGGCCTGCTGCTGAGAGCTGCCTGCTGTCCACTCTCCAAACAGCCCCATGGGGCCCAACTCCCAGCAGGGGAGAGATGGGGGGAACAACACAGGCTATGACAGCTCCTGTGGAGCTGGAAAGTGGAATCAGGTAAAGAACGAATAAAGGAGCCTTTGTCCCCATTCCTCCAACCTTCTGCTGATAATAGTTCAGATGGATGAAACAAACTGGCTCATTAGGACTTGGTTGGAAAAGATTGATATAACAATCAGGCACATCATGGACAAATGAATATTACCATCTCACTTTTTAATATAAAATATTTAAGTTTTGAAAGAGAGATATGCTATCACAAGAGAGATAGTTATGTCTTCACTTATACCATAGCTGAGATGATTTCTCATCTTTTCTCTACCTCAGAAAACCAAACCCTTTTTACCAGCTTTAACTTGACAATGGTGTTCATTCAATGACTGTAACAGCAATATAAAAATGACATGTCCTTTTAAATGGGAATGAACAGTAGTGAATAAATAGAAGTGCAGAAAAAAACATCAAAGTTGCATTTTTCCTATTTCTTATTTTGACATAGAACAATATTTCCCTGGTTTTTAACTAAAAAGAAATGGATAAAACTCACCATAATTGAGTACCGCTCAAAAAGTAAAAAAGCCTGAAAAATCTAAATAGATCTATTATTTCTTTAAATTAAACACTTCTAAATGGAAACTATGCTCAGGTTTCTGCAACTTCATAGATTTTGACTGACATATCTGTCCTTATAACAGACACTCTAAATCAAGAGCCCTTAACAGAAGTGTCCTTAACTGTAACAGTTTTAGAGCGTGACTGCCTGTGCCAGGTGAGATGAACTCCAGTGTGTCTCCAAAAGGAAGGTCCAAGCCTCTGTAGGTTTAAAGAACTTATGCTGCTTTGGATGTGATTTGTGGTGTAAATAGCGTCAGCTTTTAGAAACCACAAAAAACTAATCATGGGGGAAAAAAAAAAAAAAGGTGTAACTTTTGTGTCTTAGCACTCTAGCATGGGTGAAATCTAACACTGGGGTATTGCCCCTCTCTTCAAAAGGGCCAGGATTCAACCTATATAATCCAAATTTAGGAAAGTCTTCCAAAGGATTTTGAGCAATATTATGCAACCTTTAACACCTGAGGGCCAAACACGCTATTTAGAAAGGTCAAAAGGATAAAAATGGGAGCAGCCGACTACCCTGCCCTATTCTCTTTATACTGCACAGGTAGGGCTGATTCAAAACCACTGCTTTTAAAACAGGGCACACCTCAGTGTGTATGTTCTATTCATAAGGCAGTACAAACCTTCTGCCTAGTTTAGCTGTCCTTAATTTAAGCTCTACCATTTAGGGCTCTGGGCCAGAGGTTACACACCAAAAGAAACAATCAGGGCCTGACTCGTGATGACTCAAACCTCTCACTCGGTGCTGAAACACTTCAGCGCTCCCTTGATTATTTTGGCACTGGGAATTTATGACCCAGATTCTGGGACACTGTATGGCCCCATCCTGCCCCTGTCTCAATTAGGCTATTCACTCAGCTTCTCTCTCTGTGCTTCCTGCAAATCCTAGCAGAAAAGGTCTGTAATGAAACACCGTGAACGGTCACCAAAGAGAAGTCCTGAGACAGGCTGAGGAGTTAACACAGCCGAATGTACACCTCCTGTAAGGCTCCTTTAAGCCGTCAGAGCAAGATTAAGGAAATACGGTTAGAAGAATCATTTAGAATTGAATGTTATCGCTTCCTGTGTGGTTTTCAGGAGGTCTATTTTTGAATGACTGAAAGGAGAAAGCATGGTTTAAGTGATTTTAGAAAAGGGCACCATGATGTCAAGAGTGTGCAATGCACCTTTCAGCACAATGAGAAGCATTATTTGCAGGAGATTTGCATTTTTTTTGAAGGACTTTCACACACCATATTCTATTAATTACTTGATTATTAGTTCTTCGGAGAAGTCAGTGTATGGTAGCAGTTAGTAACCCACCTAGCCGACATTATGAGCTTTTCTCCATCATAAGCAGGAAAATATCTTGTAAATGCATATGGGACAGGAAGAACTAGCTGACTATGGTATTTTTAGATTTAGGTGAAAATATCACTGCGATTATTTAGCAAAGAAATAGGAAAAGGAAATAAATCAAGTAAATTAAAAACAATTTCTCAACAAAGAAAATTATTACTTTTATGTACAGGGAAACTGCAAAAAGCACTTATGCTATCTGAATATAATATGAGAGAAGGTATCAATAATGTTTCTAATCCTTATACATCTCAGTAATGCTTCAAGTTCTCAACTTCTGTATGCTTGGTGGCAGAGACTCCACCTACCCCTCAACCGTTAAGTCAGAAAAAATACAACACTTCACAGCTCAACCAGGGAGAAACTTTTCCTCTTGCACGGGGAATGCATTTTATTTTTATTTAATTCCCTTTAGCTGTTAAAAGAGGGAAAACATTTTGACTTGGCATTACCCCTTTACCCTTGACTGGTATATTTCCCTGTTAGAGGAAGAAAGGTTTGAGGTGATAGTTTACATAACACAGCTAAGCATATTATGTAAAGATTAAAGCAGCAGGGCCGGCACAGGGACAGAAGCGTCTCACCCGCCCAGCACAGCCGGGGTTACCTGACAGCCAGTTCTGCTGGAGGTTTGTTTTGTTCCAGGTTAATATTCCCACTAAACTAACATTTAAGTGCGGCTCTGCCTTGGCCTCTTCCCTTCCTGACTGCGATGCTTTCTACAGAGGCAATGCCTGCTTGCGTGGGAGGTGAGGTTCGTTTACCTGGCCACAATCAGGCGACCTATCTCCAGGCGGGATGCTGCACGTCACCCGGTGCCGCCAGCGGCCGGGGGCGGTTTGTGCCACCCAGCCGCGCTGATGCCACGCAGCGGTCGAAACTACCACGGTAACACGAAGTGTGGCCACCGAGTGCCACGGGCCTGGGCCCTGCCTGCAGGCCGGCGGGAGCACGGCGTGCCCTCGCACCGCCCCTCCGCAGGTACCGCGTCCCTCCCCGCCCGGGTCATCGCCCGCGTCCCCCCGGCTGCTCCCTGCGGCTCCGCGGAGACAAAGGCGCCGGGAGGTGCGGGCGGCGGGCCGGCAGGACCGGGGAGGGGGCGGAGAAGGGGGCGACTGGCTAGGGGAACAAAGGAGCCGAAAAAGACGAGAAGAGCCAAGAAAGTTGATACCGGCCCTCGCCGCCCCCTGCCCTGTCCCGGCCCGCCCCTCCCACCTCCCGGACTTTGGCGTGAGGGCCCACGGCAGCCCGGCGGCGGCAGGGAGAAAGGCCGAGTACCCTCACCTCCATCCACCCCCCAGAATCCCCGGCCGAAAGTCCCCGCTCGCCCCATCCCCTCCCGCCTCCTCCTCCTTCTTCCTCTGCCCCGCTGACCCCGCCCAGCCCCCGGTGCTTCCCTTTAACGCGCGCTCCCGCCGCCGCCTCTTGCCCCTCCCCCCTGCCCGGCGGCGCGCGGCCTCCGCCAGCCCCCGCGGGCACGCGCCCGCCCGCGCCCCCCCCCATCCCGTCACTTCCCCCCCGCTCCCTCGCCGAAATCGCGCGCGCGCGCGCGCCCGCCCTCCCGCTCCTCCCTCGGCGGCCCGCGAGCGCCCGGGA